GCTCGCAACCGGTTGGACTCGGTTAAGCCTGTGCTCCTCGCTATCGCGCCTCTGGGCTTCATTCATTGGGGTGCGTATCAAAGTGTGGAGGCGTGGCGGGCGGGGTACTACACACATGCGCCCCAAGGTCAACGGGGGTGGGTGGTCCTCTTCTGGTCCTAGCCTGCTCGTGTCTGATTCCGAGAAAGCGTTTCCCCGTCCGGCTCGTTAGCAAGCGAGTGCGATCCTCCGCCCCCTTAACCGGATAGGTGTTAATATCGTTTTGATCGCCCCCGGGGCCAGAGTCCTCTGCGCGCGGGGGCGGGCCGCCTCTCAGGTGGGCCCCCGGGACCCCTAATGGGGACCCATTTGTCGCAGCCGACGGGTGTTTAGCCGGCCGTGGCCCACCCCCCAGCCCGCCCCCAGCCCGCCCCCGGGGCCCCTTGTCGTCGGGCCCGCCCCCGGGGGCGCCACCCGCTCGGCACCCACCCCGCTGGCATACCGGGCCCAGTTTGAGTTTCACTCCGCAAAAATAATTACCAACTCCCCCGTCTGCCTCATCTCTCAGCGACAAAAGTGGTGTTTGTTTTGACAGAAACACCCCTTTTTGACAGAAACAAACACACACTTTGGCGCGTCGTCAAGTCCGGGGGCGTGTCTGCACACTCCCCCCCCCCCTCTCTCTCTGTTTCTTTGCGTGTCCATACCTATGCCAGTTGCTAAAATATGTATTTTGAATTGTTCTAGTTAAGTTTACGTAATATTTTAAAAAGCAAGGTTGTATATACCCCTATACTCTTTAGTACTACTGTACAGGGTGGTCCACAGACCACTCTTGTTTTTCTTTGGCTTATACTGTACTGGCTGCAGGAGTGCAGCATGGTTGCACACTCGCATGAGGCCGGAAGGATCAACGGCGAGCTAGGGTAGGCAAGTCCGCCCGCACGCCTGCATGCGGCAAAGTATGTATAAGCAAAATAAAGAAAGGGTTCTGTAGACCACCCTGTATGTTCAAAAGAAAATGAAAATTCAATAAATTACTCATCTCTCTACCGATGCTATATATCGCGTTCGGAGCCGTGGCACTGCCAGAGAGAGAGTTCATCGGGGTCCCCCGCTGGGGCTGTGCGTGAGATCGCTCCCGTTTGCTCCCCATTGTGGCCGCTATGGCTGATAACTGAACACCTCCCGAACATCAAGGGGGCCGCCCTCGCCCTCGTGAGCCACACGCCGAGGGCGCGGCGGGGCGCGGCGGGGTGCGGCGGGGTGCGGCGGGGCGCGGCGGGGTGCGGCGGGGCGCGGCGGGGCGCGGCGGGGCGTGGTGCGAACAGCAGCAGCACCTGTCCGGGAGCCATGCTCTCACGCACCACCACCACAGAGCTGTTGTGTAACGCCCCGAAACACAATGGTGTCGCGGAATAAGGACTCCGGAGGACGACTTCTTCTCTGCATCCCTCTTGAGCTGTGGGCGCAGCAGCAGCAAAAGGAGGGACATACCCCCCGCTGCGACCTGGCACCTCTACAAGGACCTCACACCCGCACAAGGACCTCACACTTCGCACACAATGAGAAGAGGTCATTATAAGAGAGACTTGGAAAACAACATGGGATGTATACAAAATCAGTGACCTTTTTTATTTATTTTTATTTTTGTTTTCAGTCTCAACACTTGCAAATAAATAATTTAAAAAATATTTTTATCAAAAGGTATACAAGAAAATAGAATCTTTGGTTGTGTATCATTACAAAGTCAATCACGAAATCTATATCAGTTTGGACGGCACGTACAGGTATGTACAGAGATGAAGACGGTGACAGCCGCGGCCAGCTCGCGCTTCAGCATGGATTCAGCACGACGTCCTGGTTTTCCATGACGGTTCGGAAAAACCAAGACGTCTTCAGGAAGGAACGCATGGGGGACATCCTTGGTTTACCGAACCGTCATGAAAAACCATAGGACATCGTTTTCAGCGTGAGTTTCAGCTTCAGCATGCGGCTTCAGATTGGGGGTTGGAAACTTTCTAAAGTTTCCCGAATTTTCCAGGGAAATTTCAGGAAAAAAATTCCGCGGAAAATTTCACAAACATTAGAAGTTTGCCAATTTTTTTCGGAAATTTTCCGGGGTTTTTAGGAAATTTTGAGGAAAATTTTGGAAACCTCCAACCCTATCCAGCTTGAGCCTCAGCAGGACATGGCGGGGCTAGGGGGCGCTCTACCCGTCCTGCCCGCGCCCACGGGTCCGAGCGGCGGCCGCGGCACCCCGAGCAGGTCGCACAGCGCCGCGATGTACGTCTGCGCCATCTGGAGCGTCTCGAACTTGGAGAGGCGGTGGTCGGCGCCCAGCGAGGGGATGACGCCGCGGAGGCGGTCGAAGGCCGTGTTGAGCCCGTTCATGCGGCGCCGCTCGCGGGCGTTGGCGGCCAGGCGCCGCTTGCGCACCACGGCCGGCGGCGGCGACGGCTCGCCGTCCTGCTGGTGCTGCGGCTGCGGCGCGGGCGCCGACTGCGCGCGTCTCGCCGCGCCCGCAACGCCCCCGCAGCCGCCCCTGCTGCGGGCAGCGCGACGACGCGGAGGCGCCGACTGCGGGCTGCACACCCCCGGCGCCGGCGTCGGGTCCGGGTCCGGGCTGGCGCTCTGGAAGGGCGAGTCTGCAACAAAACGAGACGGCACTCTGTTAGCTCTTCAGGAGGGATTTTAAAGTCCGAAATTCCCCCCCCCCCCCAAAAAAAAAGAACAAAAAACTTTTGTTTGCATTGTTAGAAAAAATTTAAATACCCCCAGATAGTTTGAAAAAATTACAACTTTTAAGGAGAAAATTCAAACATGCTGCAAAAAAATCTTGAAAAATTTCCCGCCTTGACGGCGTCCTTACCTGTCCACCGGGCGGTGCTGTGGGTGTCGGAGCCCGGCGAGGCCAGGTGGTCGAAGGCCGCCGCGTAGTGCACCAGCTCGTCGGGGTGCGGCGCCGGGGTGTCCCAGTACCCGGAGTACTGCTGCCAGGCGTCGCCCGCGGCGTGCAGCGCCGTCATGGTCTGCATGGCCTGGACGCAGGAAAACCGAAAAGCTATAGTCGTCTTCCGCCTTACTCCAACACAGGTACACAACACACGACTCTCCACCGGTCGCCACTGGTGCACACTCACGTGATGCTCCTCCATGTCCATGATGAGGGACTCCCCGTCGTTGTTGTTGATGCACATCTTCAAGTCCGTGGTGGTTGCCATCCTATGGTCGAGTCGCGCTTACAGCAGC